CAAGTACAGTGAATGTAGGACAAAGACCGCGTATTAAACTCCAGAGGTCAGAAATCAAGGACGACACCTGGTAAAAGCGGATGTACATATGTATAGCTACGAAAAAAATTTATCGTCTAGTGTCTACTTATATTTTTATAGTTAAAGTCATTAATAAACAAAGGGTAATATTTTATTATTGAGAAAGGAGGAGGAACTTGTTCATAAGGTTGTTTCTAAATTATTTTTTTAAAATAAAAAATTTGATAATTAAATTATGATTATTATGAATTAAAAAGTGAAAATAACTTCAGTGCCCAAAAAAATAAAAGGAAATTTTTTAGGAACAACAAAGGACACAAAAAAACTAAAAAATAAAAAAATAAAATTTCTCTCTTGGCCTTTTAACTTTATTAAAAGTACCTATTAAATATTTTGATGATGAGAGTCGCCGCGTCTAGTTTAGTCAAGTGCCTTTTTGGTCAACTTTTATCAACAGTCTCGGAAAAATATAACAATAACAAAGTGAAAAATAATTTCTAAAAATAAGTTTCACAATAAAAATATTTATCCAACAATTATCACACTTGCATTTTAAAGAAAATAGTAGAAAAAAATAATTAAGTAACTAATGCATAATTCATAGATAAATCGCGATAAAAAATTTTGACCGCCAATTGTTGCTCATTTATTTATTCAGTAAGCCCCTGAATTTTTCATTTCTTAAATTTTATATTTAATTAATGTCCAAAGAAGCGTGGCTTGCGCCAGTAAGAACACCCGTTTTCGGCAGTATTTTCATCCCTCTGGAAAAATTATAAATATTGATCCTACAGTTCTGGGAGATGAGATTTTTTTTAGAAAATCACCTCCTCTTTTTGAATATGTTTTTAGATTTGAAAAACTCAATTAGGTAAACAAAAAGGCATTTTTTGACTAGACTACGGCGTAATATAAAATATAGAAGTTATTAAAATTATTAAAGGAAATTATTGTTAGATATTAATGTGATTAGGCAAATAATATATATTTTTATCTTCTTGAAGCATACATTTAGTATCTAAGTTCTCCGTAGTTTTTAATATACATAATGAATCAAATAACATTGGCTTATTATTGGAAATGTTATTTGATCCTTTACCTAAATGTTCTATTGTAAATGCTCTCTTTTTAAACTAACGACCCACAGAAAGGTATTTTTCGATTTATCGAAATATATTTTCAATAATTACTTTATTTAAAAATAACAAAAATAGATTCGACTCGCCTTAAGAGTATTGTAAAGCTGTAAATTTTCATACACAAAGCGATAAGCTTTTTTCCCTCCATAAACATAGTGTAATCTTCATGTTTTTTGGAAATGTTGTAGATATAATGAAAAATTAGGTCCGTAATTTTAATTTAAAAAAAACGCTCGAGGAAGTTTTTAAGTCAAAAACACAGATATTTATGTAGATGCTAATAACTTCTATCATACGCAATATTTCTTTAAAATAAAAACTTATGGACCCTAGTTTTCCATTATACCTATCTACAACATTTCCAAAACTTATGAAAATTAGACTATGTTAATGGGGGGAAAAACGTTATCGCTTTTTGTATGAAAATTTACAGCTTAACAATCCTCTTAACCGTCTCGTTAGACTTTTTTTTTCAAATCCGCTGTTACATATAAAATTCCCCTGTTCGCTGCATGTACATAATACATATCCGACATACATATTTCGTGGATTAATTTAGTTTTTTTGGCCCCAAATAAATAAAATGTAAAAAAATAAATAAAAATCATTGACAATTAATTAAATATATTATTTACAATTACATTTTAAATAATATATTTGATATCATATAGCTCATCTAAAAATCTTTCAAAAATATATTTATATATATTGCTTATAATAATAATAATAACCGGATCTTTAATGTGACTTCATTTCAAAGTTAAAAGGTATTTTTCTAAGCTAAATGTATTTAACTATTTATAATCTAATCTAGAATTTACGTACTCAATACCCTAACCTATGTTACAAAACATGAAGCGGTCACGCTCTCAAAACCAAATGAACTCTCATTAACTTTAATTTATTTAATAAGTACAAATGCAAGCGTCAATCCATTATGAAAATACCATGTATACCATAAAAAGATGCACAGGAAAAAATATACAATTTGGAATATTAATTATCACCATATAAATACACGTTGATATTTTTAATTATTCTGTACAAAGACAATTTCGTTCTACATATACCTTCTTACTTAAATATTTAAATGCAACGTAAATATGCTATGGGTGATGAAACTATTCATTTCACTGCTTTAAAAAAATCATGTTTTTGAGATACGGGAATAAACTTACACGTGCTTTATATAAAAAATGTGTCGTAGGATATTATAATGCCGACTTATATCACTTTTACTTTTAAAAGATTTTATTTAAAATTTACAGTTATATGAAATTACTACCATTGCCCGCGGCTCCGCCCGCGTTCAGATGACCAAAAAGCAAATTCTTAGGTTCTACATATTAGTACTCTTACAATGCAGTTTTTGTATTTTTTCTTAGAAAGGAGATATTTTCCCGCGGTAAAAAGTAACCTATATGTTGACCCGGATAACCAGCTATCATCATACCAAATTTCATCAAAATCTGTCCAGTGGTTTTCTCGTGATGCGGTAACAGACAGACAAACAGACAAAAATTCTAAAAACTTTGGATTCGGACTCTGTATCGATAATAATGTCTATTTCAATTAGATTTTCCAAAAAATATTTAATGTACAGATTCGACTTAGTTACAATTTTATTATATGTATAGATATTTGCATGATAGAGTAATGAAATTGCAATTATAAATTGCTTCCAGTCACTGATGAGTTCATTGTTTGCAAGAGTCGGCCGATGCGCGCTTGCTCAATGGCATCGGGCTAAACATTTGTGGTTGCAAGGACGTTTAGTAACTGGTGCCTTAGTGACCACTTCTGTAGTTGTCTCAGTGCAAAATGCTCGATCACAATTTTTCATTATTTATATTTCAACACTAGACAACACATTTTAAAATGAGCAGACCTTAGACCTACAATGTTAAGGTGGTGAAATAATCTTATGCATGTGTATGAGCATTTATCAAAATACTTACGCCAAGGTTGCAACCTTTTTTTAATTTACCTTTGCGCGCTTAATTAGAAAGTCACAGTAAAAATAAAAAGTTACAGTGAAATTTTTGGCACTTGAAATGAAAAATCATTGTGGCGTTTTCTTAAATGTTATAAGATTACGTAAGTTTTCTTAAGTTTAGTCTTGGTCAAGCATCGTGATTAGCCAATTGAATAATGTGATGAGTTATTGCGAAAATAAAGTTTAATGTTTTGATGTCTGGGTCAAAAAGAATAGACCTACTTCTTATGTAGAATAGACGAAGTTTGCTCATCAGGGAGTTTTGTCAGTAACATAAAGTATTTTCATCAAGCACTTGCCCTTAGGTATTTTAACCACGTAAGTTGGGGTCGAAAAGTATGTTGAAAGTCCAAAATAACATATGCGACGTATGCGTTACTGCTAACTCTTATACAATGATGTCGACTGAACAAATAGTTATGTGTTCCGCATTTCTAGTAACCGTCATTTACGCAGGACGTTACGTGCCACGCGATTCAGCGATCCAACGTTCGTATAATCTAATAATACGTATCAATATCGGAACTTCCATTGTTAATAATAATATGAATATATACATACCCAATTTAAGTTTATTTTCGTATTATACCCTATTAGACATAAATCATCGGATATTTTTTTTAATTTAGAAATAAATTAACAGTCTTTAAAAATCGCAACAGAAACTAAAATCGAAAGTTTTAACATTCTTATTATTAGAAGTCGAGTTTATTTAAGTTCCATGAGACAACACGTTATTTGTATAAGTCGGATGATATTAAATTTAAACAAAACTTTCACTAACATCCAGCAGTGAGATCCGCATAACTTTAATTTAGCGAATATATTTTATGAATGTAGATATATACATATAAAGTAGCATATTAACAGGTACTAATTTCTAACATTTATAAAGAATAATTATTTAACATAGACTACTAAAACTAGACTCGATATCTAGAAAGAAAAGCAGAGCTTGAATCCCTTGTCTTCAATTTATTAGGCTAAAACTTAAAATATGATTGTATGATTAAAGAAAGATTCGCCTTTTTCACCAATTGATTGTTATAGCGGATAAACAAATCGCTAATCGTCTATTTTTACTATATAGAAAGTTTCTAAAGAAATATTGTGAAAATGAATAGAATATTTAAAATATAGCAAAAAAATACTAATATCATATCCACATAATTGTTGCTTAGAAAGTTTTCTGACTCGTCAAGATTTACATTGCATGCTCGCACGCTGTGCGAGAAAGCACGGAACAGTGCTCGGCTATGAACACAGCGCCGACCTCACTGAGCGGTCGCTTTTAATATTTTTTAATCAGTTCGTTATTATTATTGCCAAATGCCAATATGCATTAATAGTTCTTAAGGAAAAACAAACAATATTATTAAATCCAACATACACTTAGTAAATTAGTAGTTATTTCGTTTACAATTAAAGTCTCTCAATCTTTAAGTTTTGTTAAAGAAATCATGAATTTGACGAAAGTAAAAGCTAAAGTAGCAGAGAAAACTTCAGAGTAAACCTCACAAACCTGTGCCGCGAAATGACCTACTGGCCGTAGACTTGTGACGATTTCACTTTTAGTACTAAGTTTATATGAAAATATTTTTATGTTTTCCTATATATATTTTCTACTAGATGCACACATTTTTAGAGAAAAATGAATGGATCAGCTGACTTATAGGTTAATGTCATGCTGTTATGTAAAAAGGCTTGGTAATGATATTCAATAACAAGAACTGTTTTGAGTTGATAAGATTTTTCATATTGACTAATCTAATAAAATTTTACGAACAGTTCTATTACAATTAAGAAAAAATATAAACATAATTATAACAAAATAATTATCTAACCTGGCAGGTCTTTCCAAATATCCGCACTGGGGATGGTCCAGGAGGTTTCAGTTTCACAAATACAGTCTGCCTTCGAACTTTAGGCCCGAATTGACACATTAACTTATCCTGAACACGAGCACAAAGCCTACTCGAACTTAAACACGCCATAGCTACAACTGCAACGAAACGCTTGAGGACATGAACTACATAACGTACTTAGCACATACGATATCGGCCTTTTCCTCCCCACTTACGACAGCTGATTGTCAATTTCACGGATGACGGAACTATTTACAGTATTGCCACTTCTTAATTCAATAAGCTTATATAGTTGCTACTTACCAGTCCAGCTATCCACTAGATCTTTTCTATTTCCGGATCAATTTTTGTCGTGTGTACGCTGTCTGTTATTTTTAATTATTTTTATATGACTGATGACTCTGAAAAAGTAACTCTTACGCTCATGCCAAAATTCATAGATAATAGTTCTATTTTTATTTATAGTATAAAAAACTAATATTTTCGTCATCGAGATGTATGACCGGACTCGTGTGTGAAAGGCTTAACTATCAATTTTTTTCCACCTCTTTTTGTGTGACTTTTAACTTTTCTTTGGATGGAATGTCAGTGTCAATATAATTTTATCATTCAATTCATAAATATTAATTATTACTCTGTGCAAATTCTATTAGAATTTAGGTTATTATTTTTCAAAATTCACTTATATTGACAAAGAAAATATATAATTTCTTGGTGGTAATTATTAATTTAATATTTATATCATTATTTGAATAACTAGATAAATTAATTTGTTAATAAAACAAGTTATTAATTAGTTTCATGGTTTTTAAACCTATTAGTTTTGATGAAACTTAGAATCTATTTAAATCTATTCCTAATTATCCTACCGGTTTTATGAATTTATAAAAGTAGTAGTCCCTAGACCCTTACCTTTACATTACGATAATGTATGGAAGTCTGCCCGATTTGTTGACATTAATGATCACTGCTCCATTCCCTTGGGTAGTAGCATGATGATATATAACCTTCCTCAATAAACGGGCATTAGAATAATGCAAAAAGAATTTTTCAAATCGGATTAGTAGTTCCTGAGATTAGTGCATTCAAACAAAGAAACTAACTATTTCTTTATAATATTATTGTAAGATAGATTCTTTTATATTTTTACTGTTACTTAATAATTAATTTCAGTAGTAAAATATTTCCTAGAATTGATTAGTAGATCCATCATCGTTTGACTCCTGAGAAGAGTTTCAGTTTTGAGTTACATGACTTTCAAATTAAAACATTGTTGTTTTTCAGATAATGATTCCCCGTGCTACTTACATTGTGAATTTCTTGAAAAGTTTGGAGAGGACCATATTACAAACATTTGGCCATCCACCTAGAGGTTTCATAAGCAGTCACTTTTTATTACTTTAGGCCCTTGTAGTTTCAGGGATTAGATAAGGGAAATGTTGAAATTAATATCTATAGATACTTGAAGTAAAATATATTGTGTACCTTAACACCTATAATTTGAATTTATATATTGGATCACCTCTAAATTACATTTGTACCTCAAGTAGAATACCAACATCAAAAATTCATATTTACTTCAAATTTAAGTATGAGTAGGTAATTATACATTATGAAGGCTACAATGTTACTTTTATTCATTAACTAGGTGAAGTATTGAACACGAAGTCCAAAAATGCCTCATGCCTGTATATGCTCATTATATAAATGCATATTATAATCTAGTCTTTACTTTAATTATTATATTGTTAATTTTTATTCAAATATTAATAATAATTCAATACACATATACATTTTCAGAACTTGCATATGCTTATACATATGGAAAGCAAACACAACTGCAGCCAAAGAAATTCTCCATTAAAGATATTGTTGGAGATGGCTTCTTGTTAGCTGTGCCAAAATTTAGAAGAACAATTGAAAAGAAGTGGAAAAGAAAATTTGGACATCCTGATTATGTGTGGAAATTACTTGTACCTAAAACAAATATTGCAGTATGTTCTGATTGTGGACATAATTTTGAACGGGGACATCTTTGTGGTATGAACTATGAATATATTATATTAAACTATATTTTGAAAATAATTTTTATATTTAAAATATTTTTATATTTTGAAGGTGTAATTTTTTACTATAAACAGAAATATATGTACCCCACAGGCAATTGTTATAAAAAAGTAGAAGCTGAAACAAAAGAGATTCAGGAGAAGATCAAGGAGAAACTTGGCAATAATAAACCTATAGAGAATGATGTTATTGTATTGTATAATGGAGAAGAACTTCCAGAGGAGGTAACTAATTCTTTATATTGGATATGAGTTTAACAAAATAAATATGCTTCTTATGGATACATTACCTATAATACATATAATAAAATTCTAAGCCGAATCTGTACATTAAATATTTTTTGGAAAATCTTACTGAAATAGACATTATTATCGATACAGAGGCCGAATCTATAGTTTTTAGAATTTTTGTCTGTCTGTCTGTCTGTTACCGCATCACGGTAAAACCACTAGAAGGATTTTGATGAAATTTGGTATGATGGTAGCTGGATATCCGGGTCAACATATAGGATACTTTTTACTGCAGGAAAATATGATATATCTGAGAAAAAATACAAAAACTGCAATGTAAGAGTATACTAATATGTAAAACTTAAGAATTTGGTTTTTAGTCATCTGAACGCCGCGGGCAATGCTAGTATCCTATAAAAATATAATGGTTTTTCTTTTCTGTGCTATATAATTGCCTTTAAATCTTTAATTTTTCCTTTTAAGTTAACAAAAAAGTATTATTATTAACAAAACCACAAGAGGTTCTATCAAACCCCCTTCTAATTTAAGCGACAACAAAAGTCCTAATCATGTCATTGCTGACTAAATAAAAGAACAAACACGGCACGGACAGTAAAAAAATGCTGCATAGTTGAAATAAATTGTATTATTTATTCGAATCATTAGAATAATTATAGTGTTTATTTTTTCTGTTTATGATAACCAGCTATGAATTATTTTTAGACTAAAGAATTTTGGCAAGGTAAAAGAATAATTGAGATGAAGAAAGACAGACCCCAATGGTTTAGTAAAAATCTTCTGCAAAAATCCACCCAGCAACCTTCAGAGTCGAAAGATGTGAAACCCACGGATTTGGCATAGGTCACTAAATAATTATTATAAATAATATTATTTCATTAATGTGTAGTCATTACCTTTCAATAAATACTAGTTCTAATAAGTGTCTTTTATTCAGAATTAACAAGTTATTTCATGTGGTATGTTAACAATTATCATTCAAAGAATATTGACAAAAAATATTTTTTTGCAAAATAGTAGTAAATAAGGTAGCTGGTTATCCGGGTCAACATATAGAATACTTTTTACCGCGGAAAATATCTCATTTCTGAGAAAAAATACAAAAACTGCATTTTATGAGTATACCAATATGTAAAACCTAAGAATTTTGTTTTTGGTCATCTGAACGCGGGCGGAGCCGCGGGCAATGGTAGTATATTATAATATGCTTAATCTATACTATAATAAAACAGTAGAGGTCGAATGTCTGTACATAGCAAAAAAATGCTTAAAACCGAGTCAGGGAGATGTAAGAAGACAAATAGAACAAATTCAGATTTTTTTCAAAATTGTTATTTCTCTGTTTGTCTGTTTATACGGGCTAATCTCCGAATCTATTGGACCGATTTAAATGAAATTTTGCATGGTGGTACTTTATATCTCCGGGCAACATCTTAGATACTTTTTATCCCGGAAAACTAAATAGTTCCCGTAGGATAGTTAAAAAACTATAATAACTTATAAAACTTATGCACCTAATTTAGTAAAATTTAACATTCTGATACCTTATATTGCCGGTCAAACAACAGGTTACTTTTCATCCGGGAAAAATGAACGGATCCCGTGGGAACTAATAGATCTCTATTAGTGTTATTCTAGAGGCAAACTGAGCGAAGCGAGGGAGAACCGCTAGTGTTTACGTAAAAAGATATTTTTATTATAGTGTGCAGAAATAAAACAAGAAAATTTGAATCAAAGTTACAAACACCATATATTAAACTTATTTTGTAAAATGTACATAGGTATCTTGTCAATAGTCAATCGGGATCCAGTTTGTGAACAAAATATTGAAAACCTGAACTTTTATGAGTTTAAAATGTTAGCAGGTATATAAGGAATAGAAATTCGTAAAATGCCCCCGATGCCCAGCTACCCCCGAAAAATGGGGGACGCAAAGCGTTGTAAAATAGTTTTCTTCAGTTTCCGGCTTATTTTGAATTTTCTATCGAAAAATGTTTTCTACAAAAGTTGTACGTCCAATAAAAATCTACAACTTTTATAAATAACACTTTTTACAATAACCTCAAAGTTTTCGAGATATTTGCAGAAAACTCGGTTTTTTACTTTTTCTTGGTTTTTTATTTTTAATTTCTAGAACAATCTTTTGATTTTGATGAAACTAAGGGAATATAATCTTCGAAATACATATAATAAATTAAAAAAAATGAAATTGAAATGTTTAGCCATTTGTCTAAAGAGGCTGAAAATCACACTCAACTTCAAGTGGACGTTTACATTAAAAAATTTGCTTAACTTTCAAGTAGGGCTTATTCTTTTTGTCTTGAACTCTACTTTTTGAAAAAATAAAAACATTGTCTGGTCGTCCTGTGAAAACGCCCTTAAAAATTGGAGAAATCGATAATGTTTACTTTGTAAATTACATTTTTTTCAATAATCATTGAAGAAGTGTACTTTATTGACCAAATTTTTATAAACTGATTACACCAATGTATTTTTCGGGAAAAAACGAAAAAGATGTTATCCTCTCTATCCAGTCTATCGCTTATTTTCTATACCTACAATGTCGCCGTAAATATTCCAACTTTGCAGTAGTAGTGAAAAAGTAATAAAAGTTGGAATTCACGTAAAGTATACCATTGCTTTTGTATTTTTTGCACTTGAATCTATTTATGTTATTATTTTTTCGAATTTTAATAGTTTTTGATCGGTGTTGGAGTTAAATTTATTGATTTTTCTGAAAAAATTGATTTTAAGTTTTAAGGAAAGAAATGAAATTCATTCATCTAGTCTAATCTTGTTTATTCATTAGTTAAAAATATACTTAATATAAAAATTAAGTTGATATTTACACAATAGTCATAGTTTTGTTAAAACATCATATATAAATGTAAAAAATGAAAAAAATATTTAAATAAAGAAACATGATAAAGACTTGTAAAAATATGACTTAAATTTTTAAAATTACCCTTTAATCTACTGTTCATCCATTAAATTAAGATATTGATGATAAAAAAGAAAAGGATCCTTTTTCATTGATAGTCGAATATCTCAGGAAAAAAAATGACATAAGAGTTGATTAAAAAATTTTTTTTCATTATTTACATTCTTTTATGATTTTTTAACAAACCTATGACTACATTTTTAACGCTTTGCATCCCCTATTTCTCGAGGGTAGCTGGGCATTGGGGGCATTTTACGAATTTCTATTCCTTATATATACCTGCTAATATTTTAAAATCATAAAACTTCAGGTTTTCAATATATTTTTTAAATGGATTCGGATTAGTCTATAAATTAATATTAATATATACTAAACATATTAGAAAATACATGTATTAAAAAACACTAGATGACTTGAGAACTATTTACACTCCATTAGCACAGTCTACTAACCCATTCAGTTTTCTAACAAAGGGCTCTAGGCAGTGCAATCATTATATTATTATGGAATGTGTGAGTAGATACAATACCAACTGCCATACTTACTGTAATATGAATTATGACATTATGTAGATGGCTAGAGTTAAATAACATTATCAAGAGAGTTAGGAATGGTATCGAAGTTGTCTATAGAATCAATTTCGTTTTCACCCATGAAATGACTTTCTACATGTGACTGAAAATCTGCAAAAATAGTATCTTTTTGAAATTTATCACCACAAATGGGGCACATTTTATCAAATAGCTCTGAAGTTGTTTCATGGTCTATATGGTTTCTTATATTAGTAATATTTTCCTCTGAGACATCATGGTTATAAAGACTTGAATCTATGTGTATGTCACTTGTAACAAGACTATCACTTGTTTCTGTTTCCTTATCTTCAAAGGTTATAATAGACTTCCCTTTATTTGCAATACATGATGGACATCTATAACCATCTGAAATGTAAATAAACATTAAAATAGTATTTTTATATAATCTACGTTAAAACACTTTATCACTGTAATGGTGATATTTCTATTTATTTTTTTGATGTAATAGGGCATTTTATGTGTGGTAACATTTGATTCTTTGTAACTAGAACTTAATAAATAAAGGTAAGGTTTTGTTAGTGAAAAATGTTTAATACTATATTCATTATAATAAAATCATAAAACATTTTAATCAATCTTCTCTGAAAAACATAGTATACTAAACATTACCCTTTTCAATGATCCTAAAAATATATAACAAGATATTCATAACTCTGTATACATAAATAAAACAAAATGGAATTATCCACATTATACTTATGTACAACTAGAGTAAAGTTCGAAATTTTTGTATTGACTTTTGATTCTTACCACAGTCTCTATATTTATATACTATTGTTTCACAATCTTAGCGACTTACATACTTATCTTACATAATATGTTTTATATAAATTAAAGTAGTTGTGAGTATGCTTAGGAGATACATATGCCATCGCAGATTTTTCTGTGTGCCTTAAAAAAATCTAGTACATTTTTTGACATATCTCTCAAGGTTTGGGGAGCACTTATTGTATTTTCCCATGGGAATAAAAAAAATGTGAAAACTGCATCCAAATCAGTTAAGACGTTTCTGAGATAAGCACACTCAAACGCACAGACAATCAGACAAAAAATCTAAATCTAACCTTAGTTTCAGGTTCTAGTGAATTTGTAGCCTCCCAATAATAGTTTTTCTCAAATATTTTCCATGTGCAGACAGCGATCAGTTTTATTAATGTATAGATGATATACATGCTCATATAAACTGTCAATCATTATTGTTTTACAAACTTTAGTATAGTTAATCATAATTTCAAAATATATCGGTGAAGATATATATATATATATATATATATATATATATATATATATATATATATATATATATATATATATATATATATATATATTTTAATTTATCATTCCTTTTACAAACACAGAGTTGTAACATATGGGATAAATTTTGAGCTATTTTTGTTCTGTTATGCTAAAGAAGTATAACTTCTTACATGCATACATAAGTACAACACATACATACATTTGACATGATTCTTGAAATTGTCAATTTTTTTATTTATGAACTAAAATGAAATAAAACAAAACTAAATGTTAGGCGAAGCTTACTACAATACATTCGTGAATACTGTGCTCAAATTGGTTAAACTATTTCTGAGATTAGCATGCACAAACACACCGACAAACCAATAACCATACAAAAAATCTAAGTCATTGTTTTGGGGTCAATTACATTAAATAAAGATGCCCAATAATCGTTTTTATCAAATATCTTCCATGTGCAGACAGCGATCAGTTACACTTTTATGAATTTAGTATAGGTGACACTTAGTACTTTTTACAAAAATCATAGCATTGTGTAGTTTGCTTGTACCCCTATAGGTGAAGATGAATTGAGCATATCATCATTTTAATTTTGCATATCATTTATCATTAAACGACACAAAGAAAATAATAATTATGAAGTAATGGGTAATAATTACCTACCTTTCATTAAATGTTCTATTCTCGAAATTACTGTTTTTAAATCTTTTTCTTGCTGAGCTAATTCTTTCTTTATATTTTGTAACTTTTCTGTTTGACTGTAAATTTCTTTAAGAGAATCTGTTGCAGGGTCTTCCATATAGGTAAAACCTATAGAGTCCACATTTAGAATATCATCATCTATTTCCTGAAGTTGAGCCATTTGTTCATATTGCTCTACTAACTGTGACTTTTCTTGAATATAACTATTTATTAATTTTAAAGATATTTCTTCCAAACTAGAATCTGAAAACTTCTCTTGATATTGAGCATTGTATTTTGGTGTGCTATGAATATAAGTATTTGTTCGAATAAGAGGTTGTTTTATACGGTCTTTTATAGTATTTTCTGCTCCTTTTAAAGTTGAAAGTTTATTCCATAAATTTTTATTTTCACAAGAAACCATAAATACATGATGTAGCAAGGTCGACTTTTGTTTGTTAAGTTCTGCAATTTTTTGTTGTAGTGATAGCTTTTCATCATCCGCTAAAGGTGTGTAAGGTCTTTTTTCCCCAGCTTTTGTTATGTCAAGTTTTAATCTCATGTTATCACTCTCGAGCGTATTAATTCTTCGTTGAAGAAGTAAGCATCTATCGCGCATAGCGTGAAGAGCCAATTCATGCACATTATTGTAATCAGCTTTTAATGTCGTTTGATAAGTAGAATCATTGTTAAAGCTCACTATAGATGAAGAATCCATTGGAAATATTATTTTTTAACAATGAAAACAAACATGCATTTTACAATTTACATCGTCTATGACAATTCACTTTTTAGTTTTTACCAGAGCTGTCGCCTGTCTCTTGTCAGTTGTCAGTTGCCACATAGCAGTTGTTGATTTACCCGACCAATAAACCTCGAAATACCCGGCTTATCCCGCTGCGCCGCGCCGGCGCCAACCATGAGGAGAATACCCGAAAATAGCTTTTTCAAAGTAATTAATTCATGTTTTATATAGAATAAAAAAAAGTATTAGTGTTAAAAAAACAAGTCATTGTAATCAGTTTTTAATTAAACAGCTTTTAATTATTGAGTCAAACATAAAAAAATCTTAAAATATTAAATGAATCAATTTCCGCTAGTACTTGGCGTTGGCTTAGTAGAGTCAGAAGAAGACTATACCTAATGTGTTTCGCAACATTTGAACACTGGACTGGAATTTCACAATATAATTATAAATTTGTACCTTCTGCTTTACGGATACCTTCCCGCACGGCCAATATTGCGACAACAATGTAATTGATAATTTCAATGAGTTTCGATGAGCTGTTAAAATGTTTATTTTTTTTAATTATGTACTATTATGATAATGTTCCAGCTCAACTATAATACCTGCTTAGTGCTTTTACCCCGGTCAATGCATATATCCGACAAAATTACACGCTATCACAAAATCGCCTAAAATTACCCGCTTTTCGGGTAATTAGGACGGACTACGGAGTCGGAATTCGAAAATCGGAATAGTTATGGAGAGTAAAGTAGAGGTAAAGAGATTTATCTCTGTGATGAAAAAATATCCGTAGAAAAGCGTCAAATCAGGGGGGGCACCACGGTTGCAAGTGGGTACATCTTGAGGAAAGTGCCAAAAGTATTATTAAAAGTTCACAACATCACATCATCATCACACGGTTATATTTACTAAAAAAAATTTTGGACTACATTAATAGTTTTAATAACAACTCAATCCTCAAGTCAAGTTTTCAACTCAGCACACTTTACTCTGTTTACAACTGCTAAACTCATATCATACCCTCTTGCTATGCTAGCGCCATTCTGGTGGCTTTTTACACACATAGGTAATTTAAATACATCCATTCACAATTACACAACACATACAAGCACACACACTTAAACACATACATGTAGTTTAATTTAAAAGTTTCACTCTGTATGTTGACTTTCTAGTCTTGGGACAGGACTACATCTAGTACAGGGGCCCTTGCGACTAGCTTGTAATGTAATCTTTACGTCAATAAAAGTATTTTTATTTATTTTTTTATTTTTTGAACTTTTGTTTACAGCTTATAGATGAATACTTTTTCAACTTGACTCTCATATAAGATGGTTCTCCTTACATCTACTATCCAGAATCATTGATAAATAATAATAATAATAATAATAATAATAGTGAATACGGATTCATCAATAGCCCAGACTATGTAAGAGATTATCTATAGTAAAACTTTCAAATCTAGAAGCGAAAATGGGGAAGGTTTCTCGAAAGGAGGGTGCCACACGTATCGCCTGTTAACATTCAGTCTGGGGTTAAGCAATTTAATGTGATATCTTTTTTATACCTGGTTTTTTGCGTCTATTGAGTTTGCATCTTATCTGTGCAATGTATTGTAGGTACCTGGAAGTGAGACCAGCTACAGGAAGAACTGAGAAGGAGAGATGCATCCTGCTGTGGTCCAGACTGACTGATGGGTCAACACGCAGCCTAAACCACTAGTCGTAGAAACGTGAAATTTGGAGGACGTATTCCTTATATTATGTAAGCATCTGATAAGAAAGAACTTTTTAAAATTCATCCCTTTAGGGGGTAAGGTGGGGTAATAAAGATTATATGGCCAAAGAATTATTTATAATCAGAATAACTTGAAACTTAGTATTAACGCTCTTTAGTACAATTAAATAAATACATGTTTTAGCATTGTTTGAAATTCAATCCTGTAAGGGGGGAATATGGGGGATGATTGTTTGTATAAAACTCTGTTATATGTAAATACACAAATAATAAAAAAGAACAAGTGAATACTTGTAGACGATTTAAGAGTTTTAAAATCACTTTCTTCAAAATGATGTCCATATAGCCTTAAATATTAAGATTGTTTCGCCAATTTTGGTCGTCTTATTGCTTTAGCTCACAATTTCTTCATTTTTTGTCTTTTGGGAATAAATGAGATCCATTTTCTTTGCATCCTAGCACTGCAAAATTTGTCATTTTAATTAAATTTTAAATAAAATAAAAAAAATACATCCACGCTATAGAGATTTACAATATTCTGAAGAACATAGTTATCGCGACACCTGGCGGGAGAAAAAGGCAAAATTCTTCCCTATTAAAAATGTACATATGTAAGTATCTTAGCATAATCTTTTATATAATAAAGAACACAACAATTTTGAAAAAGAAATAATTGTGCATTGATAATGAATATTGAAGTAGTAACGAGGTGAAGTAGAAACGTTTATGGCTATATTTTCTATTTATAAAATCTATAGGCAGTAGGCACAGAAGACAAAGTAATTGACATTTTGTCGACACTCGACTGAATAGAGTATATTGCTACATATATAAACTCAACTGTCAGTGTCATCCATGCTGACATCTGTGTTATAGGGAAAATGTCAATGCTTATTTCAAAAATGTGACAATTCCATTTGAAAATTAACTCTTAACAATTAAATTATTCTAAGAAATAGCAAGACAGGTTATAATATAGATATAAATAATGTCAAAATTTATTATAGATTTGACCTCCGTTATTTACACAAAAGAATAATTAATATGGCGTTGCCTATTCGCCTTCTGCAACTTGTTGCATTTTTGGTAAGTCATTGTATTACAAGGCTATTTTAAATAAAATAAAAAAAATGTTATTATGATGTCATGTTAATATATTTTTTATCATTATTATAGTACAGCATATTTTAGGCTATCATGCATCAAACATATCTTTTATCTAATTTAAATAACTTTAAAAAGAAATATATTAAAATGTATGGAAATGTTGTAACTTTAAGTCTCAATAACTTTTGACTCTTTTGTTGTATTAAAAAAATTTATTTAACATTTCGACTCCCTATCACGTCCCCTATCCAGAAATACCATCCACTCCGCCAAGGGCCACGTCCCCTATTCTAAACTTGTGCCACGATTTTTCTATAATTATATATTTTTTCTGAATATTAGGATTTGTTAGCTGTTGGTTTAATAGTACCACTAATACCAAATCATGTTCGACAAATGGGAGGAAACCATATTTACATTGGGCTTCTTGGGTCAATTTATGCAGGATCCCAATTCGGATCAGGCCCTTTTATTGTAAGTATAATAAATTTATTACATTTTTTTTTATGAGATTTTTTTATTGTAGTTTCAAGATATTTTTAATTGTGGATATTATCTTAATAATCAATAATTTGTAATTTTGATATTAATTATAAATGCATAACAAGATGCTTGGAACCAATTTGGATATTAATAGTACCATAAACAGAATTTTTATTGTTTTGTTTACAGGGGAGTCTTAGTGACTTGAAAGGGCGTAAATTTATACTTATCACTACCTTATTGTTATGCAGCATTGCATATATGGTCCTAAGTATAACACATTCTATTGCTACAATATTAATAATAAGAGCAGTATTAGGTATTTTTTGTTTCTTAAACTGTTTAAGTACAAACAATAAATATATATATATAAAAATGTTGATTTCTCCTGTTTCAGGTCTATTTAAACAAACACAATTATTAACAAAAGCCTTAGTTCCTGATTATGAGAAAGATGAAAGAAAACAATCTAATATTTATGGTAAAATGGCTGCTATTTCTGGTGTGGGAATTACAATAGGACCTGTAATTGGTGGTCACATTGTAGAAGATTTCCCTAGCCAGGGGTTCAATTTTATAGCATGGATTGTAGGAATGTGTTTTATAATAAATGCAGGTGAGTTATCATGTATCATATTTTTAAGTTTTAAAAGGAGGAGGTCATGTTTAATGTGGTATTTTTTTAATAATATTTCATAATTGGTTTCAGGTATTGTTTACCTTCTCCCAAAGACTATCCTTCTAAGAAAACAACAACAGGGCACTAAAAATCATCTCAAAATATTATAGTGTCTCTGTTAGATGGCACTAAGCAATCATTTGTAGAATTATCTAAAGTTGAGTGGTCAAAGTATGGGACAATATTTTTATTTCAAGCCTTAAATAGTTTTGCAATGGGAGTATATTTTTCAAATTATGCATTATATTTAAAAACCCACTATGGCTTATCACCAAAATATATAGGATATGTTGTTTCTGTGCAAGGTATAATTGGTGCTGTGTCCAGCTTTTTAATAAGTTACATAAATAGTTTCTATGTACAAGATAATGATTATAGTGTAAGAAACCATCATGTTTTTATTTTGTTAAGTTTATCTTTACTAGGACTATGTTTATCATTTAATGTTATAATGTATTGCTTTTTGTTGATTCCATTAGCTATAGGAAATGCAGTGGGTAGGTTAGTTACATTAGAAATGGTTTTAAAAAAGAGCCATGGAGATCATAGAGGTACTTTAATTGGAGCATCAAATAGTGTTAGATCATTAACTGGGGTTGTGGCACCAATGGTGTCAGGATTAGTCGGAGAATTCTTTGGGGTGACTTATGTTTTATATGCTTCATTATTTTCTACAATAATTGGACTAGTATTGAGTTATCAGTATAAAAGTAAACATATAAAGGTGGATTGAATTATGTAATATTTTGTCTAGTACATTTTTTTAATCTTTGTGTTTATTTTTCAGTCTTATTAAGTTAAATGATGTGAATATTTAAAATCTTAATATTGTACTCTAAATCCCTATTGAAAAACTCTAATAGAATCTCATCAAAAGCGACAAAAGCCACATAGAAACCAATAAATATTCAATGGCAAATCATTGATTTGTTGTTACCTAGACAGTTACTGTATACCTTGGGTGGTAAAATCAAACATACAGAGTACAGACTTTGAATGACATTCCCATTGATTTATAATAAAATTTATATATTGGTATGGTATGGTATATTCGGACTTGATTCTGCAACTCGATGCCTATTTTGCGTGTGGGAAATTTTCCATTAGTTTTTTTCTTGCCAACCCAGTTCCTCCAGGAATTTCAGCAATCTTTCCGCAATTCAAATTTACATATTACAATTAATAATAAAGTTTCATAACATTTTTATTTTGTGTTATTTATTATGATTTAGAATAGTAATGAAACAGATATTTATACTGCAGAATTCAAATATCCGACGAGCTATAAGAAGGTTGGACATTCAGCTTGATGTCATTCCTGATATATTCCATATTACATACAACTAATACTCATGTTATCAAAATAATTTTGATGTATTCATGTCTAATTGTGACTTAGTGATGAGCGAAAGTCAACTGTATTAGGTCAATCACTTTGTGACCTTTAAATTGGCAATAGGTAAACTCAAAACGGCACCTAGACTTGTCAAGCTTTTCCGTGAGATATTCTCACACCTTTCAGCGCATTCCTGTTTACAAGTCAACTGAGTATTTACATCTTTTCACAGATATTTTGTCCTAGATATTGTGTTATTATCTGGTATTTGGCATGATAACAAAGTAAGGCAGGATAATTACATCATATCCATTTCATTTGTAATTCAGAAGTAAATATTTACAATAAGAAATGCTCTGTTTCATAGTTAGCGTTTATGCAAAGTTGGAGTGAATTAAAAAGTAGACAAAAAACTTAATTTAATCATATATTACCCCGTTTTAAAAGTGAATGTGATCAGGAACAGTGATCAGGAAGATAATCTGTATTTTTAAATTTATGAAACTTAAAAACAAAACTTAGCTGTGATATTATTAATGAAGTAGTATAATTGAAATTTAATCATACATTAATCATTCTACATGGCATGAGAAAAAGCTGAACTATTATACTGGTAAAATATGATAGTCTTACCTACTGAACTATACTAGGTTAATATTTATTTTAATTTAACAATTATTATATAGATGATGGATAAAAAATAATTTTATATACATTCCATTTTATTAAGTTAGGCAATACATATGTTGTATACTATAATTTATTTATTTACATTAACATTAAAAACTAAATTAGTACAATATATCTTTATATTACTCTCCATCTATTGCTTTTAGTTGTTTCTTTCTCATGTCTTGGATAAGTTGTTGTATAGCATCCCTATCTTGCTTTTTTTCTGGTGGAAATATTTGACGTTTTTTGTTAGTTACCCATTCTTCAAAATACGTGGGCTGGTTAAAAAAGAAGAATAATGCAACAGGAAATGAGGTATACATAGCCATTTTTCCCACTTCTAATTTCCAGTTTCCCATTTTACTAGTTTGCACTTTGCAATTGTCACTTTTGTGGTAATCTTAAAATATTAATTAAATATCTTTTTTTATCTTTAATTAATCACATGCAAAGATCAGATTTGAAAGAAATATCAAATAAAGATAAAAGATTTATTTCTGTCAACTGTCGTCTGTCACATGCATAGAGTATATTGCTACATAACATGTCACTTGTAAGGTTGGTTACATGACATGTTTTCCAATTACAGAGCACAATGCCGGAGTGTGCTAAGCCTTAATTGAAACGTGAATTAGTTTTCAAGTGCATCAGCAGAGGGCACTAGATTCAGTGTTGAAAGAAACAATATAACTAACTAATTTGTATATAATATATAATAATACATATCGTCGATATTATACATTATATAATAAATATATAATTATATAAATATAAACAAATGTGAATAAAATTATATAATGAAAATAAAAGTTTTGATCAATGCCTCCTTGAAGCTGAACACAGTATAAATTACCTTTTTTATATTTTATCAGACTACGTCATAAGCTTTATGAATTAGTTAAACAATAAACAATATGACTAACTATAATTGTAAATAAAATTTTGATCAATGCCACCTTGAAGAAAAAACACTTCTCATATTTTCTGCTATTGAGTTGGTATCCTTGCGCGCATGACGCATCACGACAAAGCAGTACTTTTCAAAATGCTCGATTGAGGGCATGGAACGTTGCTGTAGTTGAAACATTCGAAGTTAGCATTATGCCGCATAATGCGCGAGTGCTCTAATTGGAAAACAGGGATGGAGCATAGAAGTTGAATTCCAAGGAGTACTTTCTTTGCGATAAAAAAGTGTCCGTCAAAACGCGTCCAATAAGGGTGGCGCCTCGTACAACAGCTAAATTCATATTGTAGTTATGGCTCACGTTTGTCATAAATAATTATTTTTTGTTCGTAAATTGTTTATTTATAAAAAAATAAACAAAATTGTACCCACAAAATAGCCCCCTCAATCGAAATTTATAATTTTTCTTGTTACTTGTAGTCGTCAAGTACCTATTTTTTGTTAAATTAATAATTTTCATTTAGTTCAATTAATTATTATTATTCAGATATATTTGTGTAGCGTATGCGTCACGCAGTGAAATATACATATAATAAAACAGCAACTTAACAAAATCTGTACATTAAATAAAAAAGTGGGGGTGTGTGGGGGGAGTCAGAATTTTAATTTCATTGGTTGGTTGGGCTTGATTATTATATGTATTTTGAAAATTATATTCCTCTAGTTTCAAGAATATCAAAAAGTTTTTGCAGACATTAAAAATTATTCAAAAGGGACAAGAAAAAAATTAAAAATCGTTTTTTTTTTTGGAAAAAAAACTTTGAGGTTATTGTAATAGTCGCAGATTTTTACTAGACCTACAACTTTTGTAAAGAATATTTTTCGATAAGACAGCTATAAACGTCTTAAAAACATAAAACTTCCGGTTTTAATTTTTTGTGTAGCACATCGCGATCGGACTAGAGCTAGACTATAGCGCTATTTAAATTAAGGAAAAACTTAATAACGAATAAAAACTTAATTTGTTTCGAATTAGAAAAAAATATGTATTATTCCTTCTATTTATTCCTTCTTTTCTTAGACTTCTTTGGGGGTCATGACCCCCCCCCCCCCCCCCTGGATCCGCGCTTGCACGAACGTGTATGTAGTAAATATTTAACAATTTTCGAGATATATAAAACAAATACATAAATAAATTATTAATAATTGAAAATAAAAATACACATGTAAGAAATTTGAATATATAATCTGGTTTTTTTATTTATGATAATATGGAGGTTAGAAATAAGGAGAATTGTCTCTTGTATAAAAAGTGACGGCCGTAGATAGAGATACTCTTGTCTACGGTGACGGCTCACAAAAGTTTTGTGACAAAATTTGGCCCCCCAGGATTTTTTTTTCTAATTTTTGAACTTTCATTTTCACATATCGTTTGTTCGTCGTTTGTTTTGATTATTCGACATAAATAATTGTTGGTTCGTATATTGTTTATTTATGAATAAATAAACAAAATTATATAAATAATACCTTGGCAAAGTTTCAATGTAAATGTTTTTAAAAATAAAAAAATTAAGTCACAAACAGACAAACATAAAATAATCTACACATATAATAAAATTGTAACTAAGCCGAATCTGTACATAAAAATTTTTTTTGAAAATCTTATTGAAATAGACATTATTATCGATATAGAGACCGAATCTATTGTTTTTAAAAATTTTGTCTGTCTGTCTGCATGAACATATTGTATTATAATAACATAAGTAATCATTATAATAATTAGCATCTATACACATTACAATAAAACAGGTACCTATATATATATAAAAATTAACCCGATGATCTGTCACTAATTTATATATATATATATATATATATATATAGGCGCGAACTAGCGGCCCGTACCGCTAGTTATTAGGTATAATTAATTATATTTAGAAATATAGTACCTATTTCATTTCATTATTATACATAAAAACAATTGAAATGATGATACGGCTTAATTTTGTACAAAATATTATTATGACTCTTGATTACATATTTATAGCTTTTCTAACGAGCTATTCTCGCTTTGCTCTACAATTCTACAATTTTCTAGATCACTTATCTTTTAAGATTTAGCCAGCGTTAACCATGTAAATTTCTAAGGATGAACCAGTTATTGTGTTTTCCCGTGGGAATGAAAGGTTTTCCTGTAGTAAAAGGTAAATACAAGTAGGTATCTATCTACCTACTTAAATAGCAACCAACGACTACTTACGGGCTGAGTGGTCGTTGATAGCAACAGTTAACTATTAAATCTATACATACAATGAAATTCTGAGTCGAATCTGTACATTAAAATATATTTTTGGAATTTTTTATTGAAACAACAGTCTTTATTAGCAACACAGAGGCCGAATCTCCAGTTTTTAGATTTTTTGTCTGTCTGTCTGTCTGTGACCGAATCACGAGAAAACCATTGGACAGATTTTGATAAAATGAGGTATGATGGTAGCTGGTTATCCGGGTCAACATATTACTTATAGGATACTTTTTACTGCGAAAAAATATCTGATCTCTGAGTAATCTATACTAACCGTTAAAACTTAACTAGGGACGAAGTACGAACCCGAGCGGACCGAGGGTGAGTCGCTAGTAGGTAATAAAAGATAAGATCTACATTTCTCTTCTCTTTTATCACAATCAATTTATTTATGTTAATGGAATACGGAATAAGTATAATATTTTTAGGATTCCGTATGCGTCTGCGTCTGAGCTTCAGCAGAAAATTCGCCCGTCTGTCTTTTGACATACACCTATTAAAGGACTAAATATTTAGAACCTTAGGTAATAGGTAGACAGTTGAAATTTTCGATGTTTGTTATAAATCTAATAAATAATTGTTATAAATTGAACAAAAAAGGATATTTCAATTATACTAGAAATATGACTTTTAACCTTATCGTTATTTTTGCTTGATGGTAATAAGGGCAAAACATATGTAATATTCAAATTTAGGGTAATTTGATACTTTCTTAGATTTACGCGAATATTTGACATTTGAAATAAACTATCTTTTCGGATTTTTTCGCGGATTTATTTGGATTTTTGTTTCCCGACGTTTCGAATGCTTTGCAACAATCATGGTCACGGGAGAGACTGAGGTGTTAGATGTCTCAAAGGTATTATTTAGTTGTTACAGACAGCCTACCCACAAATACCTAACAAAATGAATTCAAAAGTTGAAAAAATGGCACCAAAGTACCTCTTATTTGTTAATTTCAAACATTTTTATAATTTTAATAAGTTTTATAATTGAATATGGAATATAATTTATTTCATTTTAGCTGTTATTATTATAATTATTACAATATTTTTTTAAATATATAATTAGTGTAATTTTGGTTCAAATGCTAAAGTACGAAATAAGAAATTCTGCCCAAGTGTGACTGAAATGCGCGATATTTAAAAAAAAACATTACAGGTGCTAGCTAATATTAGGAAAAAGCCAGCAAGAATAACAAATTCAATCAAAATACTACTTCTGCTGCTACTGTTAAAATATATAAATACGAGTAACCATGACAACAGGGAAACTCATTATTTTTCAGGTTATTATGGTAATAACTAATAAGTTTCTGATATCTTGCGAGAATCATCAGTTTTTTCAGACGTTCATATTATATGCTGATTGCTTTTTAATCTCCTTGTTGGCTTGACTGTGCCTTTTGATATTCAAATTGATGCCGGAACAGGCACTTCATATTGGGTTATAATGAGGCGTGAATGACAAACTACCCTTTTGTAGCTACGTCTTGTTATTACTTCTAAGGATTGCACTGAGATAAGCTTGCGTTTGTGTTGTTTTTATAGAATTAATGAGCATATTCCTCTACAACTTTACGTTAAAGTAAATTAAAGAAGTCATAATTAAAATGAAATGGGCTTAAAAATAGTTTAAAATTTTAAGCTAATCTTATTTAGATCAAACTTATATAAAAAAAAACATTTAAAAAAAATTGATTTTAGAGTAAGCAGCCAGAAACAGCTTTATAGTTTATTATTTAGTTGTAAGATATTAAATTACTTATTTGTTGTACAACATCCGTGATTTAGTAACTGTATTAACAGGCTAACAACGTATGGTCTAGTGGTTCTCGCAGGAATTGTCACCAGTTAATATTTATGAATTTTATATTGGTAGGTATAATTGATAAAAAAATATAATGTTGTTTACACTAGCCTTGATTGTTCAAAACATTCACTGTTAACGATTGCAAACTATTTATACGCATTCTCAATAAAGCAAGCTATCTCTCATCTCCATCTTTTAACATAATGCAATATGAATAATTCAGTATTCAACACAATTATGCAATAGTACAAAGTACAAATTGAAATTGTTTTGGAGGTAATTTGACTCCCAGGGACCCCTGCGGTGTGAGACAACCCGAGATAGTAACGTAACAAAAGCTTCAAAGCTCTTCAATGTCGTCGATTTAATCGATTAATTTAATACAGGTACCGAATACTGATATCATATGTTTTTATTAAACCTTTGAATACCAAGTATAATCATTGCAAAAGAATTTTTAAAGTGAAAACTTATACAGGCAAGTTTTATCGACATGGTCACGTGACGTGTTAACGCTAACACTCAGAGTGCCGATAGATGTCAAAACCAGATAAATGTAAGCAGTTTTAATTTACAAAAATTTAAGATCAAACAATTAATTTGAATATCCAAAAATATCAACTGTTTATAGTTTTAAGTTTTTACTTCTGTCGGCAGCTTTTTATAATTTTTTGCTTTGACTACTTTTTATAATTTTATTTTATTCATTAAATCATTGACTATTATGACAATATTTTAGAAATCACTACGTCCTTTTCAACCGACTTCAAAAAGGAGGAGGTTCTCAATTCGACTGTTTTTTTTATGTTTGTTACCTCAGAACTTCGTCATTTATTAACCGATTTGGACAATTTTTATTTTGTTCGAAAGGGCATACTTCCAGATTGGTCCCATTTAAATTTCAAAAAAAATACCACCCCTAAGGGTGGAAAAATAGCTAATAATGAATTTAACCTACTTCTAATTGACTTGAAACTTTGCAAGTGTTTCTATTTCCGTTGATAGTACAGTGGTTCGGTATTGTTGACCTGATCTAATGGTAAGGCCAGAAGGTGGATAGGTGGAACTCTTCAACGACTAATAGTAGATACTTTGAGTTTGGGCTTATTTTGTTTGGTTTGACAAGCCTAACACTTTAGAATTCTTACTTTGCTACTACTGTCTACACTAAAAAGGGAAAAATAAAACTTTTTAACAAAAAAATAAAAACCGACTTCAAACAAAAGCACTAAAAAGTAAAAAATAACTGATTGGTAGTTTTCATTAACTAAACATACCTAATCAAATATTTTCGAAGTCGGTGTGCTTTGGCTAAGTAATTAAAGCCTACCTATTAAATACATACCTAATCAAATATTTTCGAAATCGGTGCTAGCCCATACAAAGCAAACTACTACTACGTCCTTTTTAACTTTCGGACCACCACGCTGGTCCAACACGGCGGACTTCTGCTGACTTCATATGTACCTATCGATAACTAATTGTAGCTCGGAGATCCTCCGTGAAATAGGAACCCATACGTTGTAGGTATTCCATTTATAAAAACATGATAGCAGTGACCTTATACATTTATTAGCATTAGTAATGAAAACAAATATTAAGAAATTGCGAAAATGTTGACGTTCATTTGATCTTCATTGTAAAGTTTTTGTTTGAAATTTTATGTCAGCTACTAAATGCGGCACCACTCACTTACGTTCAATGTTCAATTAAGTGCTATTTGTATTAACTTATATTTGGTCCACAATCTAATACTATGACTATATTTTTATAAGACACTAGCGACACACTTTCGCTTCGCTCGGGTCGCTTCCCTAGGTGATTCTTTAAATTGATAATTTTGATTTTTTTTATTTATGGACCGATTAAAATAAAACAATTATACTAAACGTTAAGTTTAGTCGTTTCTGAGATTTGCGCGCACAAACGCACAGGCAAACAGACCCAAAAATTCTAAAAATCATTGTTTTAGGTTCAATAATAGTTTTTCTCAAATATCTTAAATGTACAGACAGCGATCTGTTACAACTTTATTATCTATATAGATAAAGATAAATAAAATTGAAGTGTCTGTTTGTCATGTCAAAATAACAGTGTTTACTAAATGTATATGAAAATATATGCGGTATCATGTATTTATAAGAAAAACACATTTTTTTTAATTTTTGTCTGTTGTTTGTTCTGGATAATCTCTGAAACGGCTGGACTGTTTTTGACGGGACTTTAACTGAAAGATAGCTGATATTATAGGGAGTAACATAGGCTACTTTTATTTTAGATAAAGAATTAGGGTTCCACTCAAAAAAATTAAAACCTACCTAGGGACGAACCCGAGCGAAGCAAGTGTGAGTGTCGTATGTATAAATTAGGTAAATCTATTTGATGTATCTACCTGTTTCACATTAATTGCTATACTTGTGGATTTTTACAAGTAAAAATTATTTCCTCAAAATTATTATAATCTATTTAATATTAATATCTATTATTATCTGTTAATTTTTAATGTGAACAACAAATAGAACTTACATTTAAAGTTTCAATGGTGATGATAACAAATCGGAATCGTGCCGGAGTCACATTAGCGCGCGGCACGTTCCGGCGCACAGCATCTGATACTACGTAATGCAACTGTAATGCACTCAAGTATTTCATGTTATTATTGCCATACTAGTGCTCTAAACGTAAACAGGTAATATCATCAGTGGCGATCGCATTCGTTCCCTCCGATATCCTTGTGACTTGGAATAGTCTTGCATTTCTACAATATATAGAAAGAATTCTTATTTTTACCCGACTGCCGATAAAAATAATGTCAGTTAAGGATCTATTATCTACACTTAGAAATGAAGAAATAGATCCTGTTTAGTTTTGAAAGATTTTAAAGAGAAACGATAGATGTTATATTTTTAAAAAAATATGTCTAGAAAGTAATAGGAGGGGGATGACCTCCTTACATAACCATCCAAATAAAATTTAGGTAACCATATTTTTCTACTTAACTAATGATGTAAAAATAAAAACTAAGTAGGTATAGTACCCCCTACTACCTACTTTATTAAAATGAGAAGATAGTTCAGACAGCTCTTAAAGATTGAGAAATCAATCACTTGTCTAAGCAGCAATTAATAATTTAACCTGTACTTAAATGGACATCTTTATACGTCCGCAGATAACGGCAGTATATGGCAATAAATGCTAGTTTAGTGTAAGCCATAGCTCAACATCGTATTAACGGTTGTATATCCCATCTTTGGCACATTCATAATGGCATAACACTTGACAAATTCAAATAGCCTGAAACGCGATATTAGTATTCTATTAGATGTAACGATATAAAATAAATACAAGATACTACCCATAAAATCACACAACATCTCAGTAATTCCATATCTAAAGTAGATGGATGCTATTAATATGAAATAAGCACGCATTATACTGTATACTATAATGGGATATCGAAGCGTTGCAATTTGCAGTAGTTTAAAGTAAAGAGCACGCTACAGCAATTTTCTTTTATAAACCAAGATGATAAAATCCGGGTGGTCCTCCAAGAAGAGCATGTTTAAGTTTTTACTATGAAAGTAAAAAGCCTTTACTTGAAGTTTATTATAACCTGATCTGATTGCAGAAAATTTTCAGCTATCTAATTGGCATGAACAAATTCAATAACTTTATTTTGTGCTAGCGACTTACCCTCGTTTCGCTCGGTACGTTTATAACTTATTACTAGGTACGATAAATAATTATTGCCAGTGTACCTTAGAAGAAAGCCTTATGCTATTGCTGATTTTTCTGTAGGCCTTATTAAAACCTACAATTTTCTAGTACATTGTTTTGATGTATCTCTTAAGTCAGTAGTCCCTTTAGCCAGCGATAGACATGTAAATTTCTAAGGACGATTCGATAAAACCAGTTATTGTGTTTTCCCGTGGGAATGCAAGTTTCATGTAGTAAAAGGTATCCTAAAAGTTGACTCGAGTAATCATTACATACATAAAATTTAGTTAACATAGATTCAGGACTTTTTGCGAGAAATGGGCACACACAAACAGACCAACAGACAAAATTTTTAATATCTATTGTTCTGGGGTCTGTATTCTGTACACAATACGTTACAGTCATTGTTTTTAAAAAATATTTCATTTATAGGTTTCACTAAGTTACCTACTTCAAATATGTAAAGTTTACACGTGGATACATCTTATCAGCTACTTTTAGTAATTTTTATGTTCACATAAAAAATTATGTATTAGAAATAAATACTTGATTTGTTACACGTGATTCACAAACATAAACTGATGCATACAAAAAATTACAAGTAGACGCAACTCGCTTAGTAATGGCTTGTATTAAAAAGAAAATATAGAAATGTCTATTTTAATAATTTAAGACCCTATTTGAAGATATCCTGTCTCTACATAGTGAAAAAAATCATGCCTCAGTATATATACTACTGCTTTTATTTTATTTTTTGTAATGTAATACGGAATTGTTTAGTCATTCACATACGAAGTTTTTTAGGTTCCTAGTTGACCATACAAATTTCATTAATATAGCTCAATTAGAGCTCTATTAGAGTATCCGAATTACATAGGATCCGTTTCTGCCTTTTGGCTATAGAATCATAAAAAAAATATTTGTCCCTTTAAACGCATACATATATAAGAGGATACATACCTAGGTTATTTCATAATATTTTTAGACTTATCCTAGATTTAATACGTTATTTTGAAATATAACAAAATTTTATTCGATCGATTCAATACCTACATTTAAAGTTTTAGCTCGAGCTGGATCGGGCTCGATATTGTTTGCAATTTTGAAAGAGACCTACAGTTTCTTAGTGTTTATCAAGTAAATTTGAAATATATGCACACAAGACGTTGAAAGACAAAAAGACCGATATAACACATTTGTGTTTTTTGTGGAAAAGTGTAAAAATATGGCCAAATTCATGGTTTTCTAATTTAGAGTTAAACGAAATCTATCAATTTACTGGCGTTAGCATCACTGTTTGGAAACCTAAATTATCTAAAAAAAATTATATTCATTTTCATTCTAATTCAGATTTTGAGCGGATTTATCATTCATTTTTCGACCATGTTACATAATACATTAACCATAGAGCAAGGTATGTACGAGAGGCATCAAAAAAAAAATCTGCCAAAATGTGATTTGTCGGTTTTTGTTCTGACGCTCCTCAAATGAAAATTAGAAAGGTTATAATAATAAAAATAAATTATTTCAACTTTCGCTACATTTAATTTTCTATTATATAGATTTTTGTTACTTTCTAAGTTTCTAGTAAACCTTAAAATACAACCTATCTAATTTGTAAATCCTCTTTAAGTTGGCGCATATGAGCAACTCTCAAAGACATTCGTCTGTGACATGGCGTGTGATTAGATATGAGTCGGAGAAAGCAGCTGATAGCCAGTTTTGAAAATATATGGTGAAAAAAAATCTTTTTTGTAAGATTTAATTAAAATATTAACAAAAAATTTACAAAATACTTTATAAAATTCAGAGCACAATAAAATATATGTATCTTTTTGTAGCATTTTAATGTAAAGTTTAATTTGTACGTAGGTGTTTTGAGTATTCCTAAACGGTTTTGAGTTTTTGACTTTTGATACGTTTGACGTTTAAAATAAGATTTTATTTGTCACCTGTGTTGTCACTTGTCATCCATGTTAAAAAGACGTAATTCGTAAATAATAAATATAAAAATTTGTGCCCAAAGGCACTCCTAGAAGCCACAAACCGAAAGAATTAAATTGTATTAAATATAAAAATTGAATACTAATTACCTATTGAATTGAATACCTTGAAAATCTTAGATTTGATAAAAAAAGTTTAAAACTAAATAATAACAGGTGAAATAAGGTTAGTTTAGAAATGTTGAATAGGAATTCTTTCAAAATGTCTAAATATTATTGATAATGTATAAAGATTATATGAATGAAGCTTAAAAATTGATAAATTTAATATCTATCATGTCAAATTTTAATGAACTGTTTGTTGACAAGATTGTGGAAAGTTGCATAAAAACGTATAAAGGCCTCCCAAAATCCGGAAAACCTCTTGAAGATGAATGGACTGTGTTATCCTGTGTAGTACAATACAATATAGAAACTAATGAACACAAAGTTGTATCTCTAGGAACAGGTTCGAAATGCATTGGGGCATCAAAGATGTCTCCAACAGGTAATATTTTAAACGATTCTCATGCTGAGGTATTTGCCCGAAGAGGGTTTCTAATATACATATATGAAAATATTATAAACCTACTAGATCAAAAACAGTCTATTTTTGTAAAAGAAGTAGAAAAATTCAAACTTAAAGATAATATTCAATTTATTTTTTATTCATCCCAGATGCCATGTGGAGATGCATCAATTATACCAATAAAAGGGGAGGAAGATGATTTTGGTAAATTAATTTTGAGTAAAAGAGGAGCTATGGATGATAATTGTGACATAGAATGTAAAAAGCAAAAAATAGATATTTATAGAACAGGTGCAAAATGCCTACCTCACACACAACAAGATCCAAAGGGATCTGGTGAAAACTATCACATAGTTGGAAAGGTTAGAACAAAGCCTGGCAGAGGAGATCACACTTTATCAGTATCATGTAGCGATAAAATAGCTCGCTGGATACATTTAGGCATTCAAGGTAGCTTACTATATATGCTGTTATATGAACCATTAACAATTAAACATTTTATATTTGGAGCAGGAGTGCCTTATTCTGTAGAAACTCTGAATAGAGCATTTTTATTAAGAGATAGTTATTTGTCTATTAAAGATAGACTGAAGGAAATTCCAAAATTTTATAAAAGCTCAATAAAATTCATTCACACTCGAGGTGCTGTCAATATAAGACCTGCACCTGGAAGCATTGTATGGGTTAACACAACTGATAGGTATGGTAATTTTTAGCAAGGTTGCATACAATTAATATTGTTGCCAAAGTGAAAAAAATTTATAAAAATATCTATTTTTTAAAAACTTATGTTTCATAGACGAGTTGAATACAAGCAAAATAACAACATTGATAATTTTATCTGTCTGTTTAATCTTACATAAGTTGAGAATTTATGTTTAAAAATTTGCCATTTGCAAATTTGTACAAGTACTTCGAATTAAATATTAAGTTAAATTTAAATATTTTTTTCTGTCATTGGCTAAATGAGTCTGAAATACTTTGCTCCTGTTTTATGACAAGTCATTTGTAGTTATGATAAATAATTAAAATACGCTTAAACAAAGTCACTATGAATCTAGCTGAGAGTCAATTATCTACTCCTTTACATTTTACAAAATGAAATGTATATTATTATTTTCAGATTAGTGGAAGTTGCGGTACATGGATTGAAATTAGGTGTAACTAAGAAGAAAGCTAATTCTGCAAATAGTAGTCTGTGTATAAGTAAATATAATTTATACAAAAAATTCCATGAAGTTATATTGAAAAGCAAGGAATTAAAAACTAATATTTGCAGTAGTGAACCACTGAGTAACATACCATATAATGAAATGAAAAAGAAGTCAGTCAAATATCAATCACAGTGGAGTAAAATAAAAGAAGGATTTTTTAAAACATGGACAATGAAACCTGATATGTGGAACTTTACTATAAAAAATTAATGAATGATAAAATTAATTGTTTATAATTTTATATTTTCCTTGCATAGCATGTAATTTGTAAATATATTATTTTATGCTTATGCTTCCTTGCATTGCCTGCACTTTTGGCTACTACTGTACTGTAAGCAACTACCATTTTTTTCACTTATGCTTTGATAGTCAATAAGTTTTAATAAAGATTTCTGATAAATTCATCAATGTACCAGCTGCACTATATATTTGTTTCATTCAATCAAAAAGAGAATTTTATTAAAATTTGGATAAAGAAATACCAATAATACTTATACAATATATATCTTTACTGCCACCATAAATATTAGTGTAAAATGGGGAGCAGGTACTGGTACAGTGAGTGCTGTGGAGCCAATGCTTCTTCAAAATAAATACTTTTAATTGGATATTGGCATTAGTAGTATTATATGATCTGTGGTATTAGAATGGAAGAGAAATTGTTTTTTATCTTCGGTGGAGAAAAACAAACAAATCTATCCCGCGGGAACCGTAAATTTTTTCGGGATAGAAAGTAACTTATGTGTTATTCCACACTACAATCTATATCTGTGCCAAATTCCATCCAGATGCGTTTAGCCGTTCTGGCGTGATAGAGTAACAAACATCTATACTCACATACTTTCACATTGATAATATTAGTATGGATAGTATTATATGATCTGTGTTATTATGGACCTACTAACTCCTATTAGGTATTTAGATAAAATACAAGTTTGACGTTATCAATTATAAAAAATAGTAACGTTAATGTGATAATTTAGGTATTTATTACTGGTACCCGCGGTTTCGCCCGCGTCCAAACTGCCGCTGGGCTAATCTGAAGATCACGCGAAAATTTCATCAAAATCGCTCCAGCTGTTTTGGAGTCCATTGGAAAAATGCATACATACACATCGATTTATATTTTATTTAATCAGCAATTTAAATTTATTTATTGCTCGGAAAATGGACTCTTTCATGAAAATTTAGTGACACACGGACTGCCGCGCTACCTACCAGATCCATTTGTGAATTCAAACCTTGCAGGGACCCACTTGAACATACACAAAAAAATATCATTAAAATCATCCCTGCCGTTTAAGAGATGATCAGTGGCACACCGACTGCAGCGCGACCTACTGGGTCCATTTGTGTTTTCAAACCTTCCAGGAGCCTATTGAAATATACACACAACATTTCATCCAAATCGGTCCAGTCCTAGAGGAGTAGGTTAACAAACACAAGTACAAAAGAATTATATATATTAATATTATTAGTTGTTACCGTATCTTCTTAAGTACAGTACCTACCTACATGAACCTTTGGAAAAAAGGACCACCGATAAACAATGACGTGATATATTACACCTGTTTATAAGCGTATCAAGAATTAAGTAAAACAAATGGATGCATTGTAAGATCCCAAGGGTTTAGCGCCTACGCAATGCGATCCTATCACCAACCGATTACGTAGATATCTTCTAATTTATTACATTTACCGTGCTTATTGCGTACAGACATATTTTAGTTTTGAACCTTATTCAAAAAGGCTCTTCCTGCTTGTTGATTTTAATGTATATAATAAATAGGTAGGTACAGATATGTCATATTAACTGCCTCGGTGGTGTAGTGGCTAGCATGTACGGCTGCACACCTGGAGGTCCTGGGTTCGAGTCCCAGGTCACGTCAAGTTTTGTTATTGAGTCTTTTTGTATAGTAAGAAGCCTCAGTAATAGCCCGGAGTTGGGAAGTTGGCGGTGTTTCACCCCCGTGTCAGAGAGCACGTAAAGTCGGTCCTGCGCCTTAACTCTCACCGGTCGTGTCGAGTGGTCGTCCCACCGGAGTATGAGAGTGACAGGAATAGAGAGTGCACGTTGTGTCTGCGCGTACACTTGTGCACTATAATATCTCCTGCGCAGTTGGCTAGTCTCAATGAGATTGGCCGCCGTGGCCGGAATCGGTCAGGAGGACATTATTATTACAGCTATGTAATTTCTAACAATAAGTTTACTACTAAGCTGTTTGCTTGAACCAATGTGTAAAACAGAAGGAATTCATTAGCTTATATTATGTAGTATTTTAAAAACTAAAACAACTCTCATCATATAAAAATTATAATAAAAATTTCCTATTAGGTTTTAAATGTTCAAAAAAGTTAGATATTTCAGGGCTCCCGGTTCGGTAAAAACGAAAACCTACATCTTCGTGACTACCGCCTACCTATACCTATATTGAAAAAAATATAGTACGTACCGGCAATCCATAGGTACATGTATTCTGAGTGGATAAAATATATTTGAGTTCTTAATTAATTACGTACTAATATATTATGAGATATTAAAGATATAATATTATGTATTATGTATTTTGTATAACATGCCTTATTCTCGCTTCATTCAGGGGCGATGATGACTGCGTCCAAGTCAATTATGTATCCAGCGCTGGATTTACACTAGGGGCACTCGAGGCTAGTGCCCAGGGCGGCAAATCATAATATAAAAGAAAGATAAAAAAAATTTTCGCGTTATCGAAAATGTTTTATTTATTTTCAAAAAAATAAATATAATAATTAAAAAAATTAACTACCACATTTTTCGAAAAACGGACAACAATTTACAAATTACTTTTTTGCATTTTTCAAAAATTAATAATAATAAAAAATAACTTTATTAAAACTTTATCCATTTTATGCAAAATTTCGATAATTGAATCCGGCGCAGTATATATCTTAATTAAGTACCTACCTATTTGTGATGACGTAATAATTAATTTGTATAAGGAATAAAATTGAGTAGTTCAATCATCTAAACATTACTTAGTTAAAAAGAAAATATATTATAATAGCAACTAAATATATCTGATAATAATATAACTTAGCATTCGAAACTTCGGTAACCAAAGATTAAAATAAATCCGCGAAAAAATGCGAAAAGATAGTTTTATTTAAAATGTCAAATATTCGCGTTAATGTAAAAGAAAGTATTAAAGTAATATAAATATATGCCTTACATTATTTTATTTGTACTCATTTATTTACAACCGTTTATTCAGCGGTCAGCGCACGTTGATATAATAACCAAGCAGCGCTTTTTCAACCGACTCAGTAGCTCGTCAATTAAAAGTTGGTCTGAATTAAGCCGACGCCATAGATATATCTTTTCAACCGACTTCAAAAAGGAGGAGGTTCTCAATTCGACTGTTTGTTTTTTTTTATGTTTGTTACCTCAGAACTCCGTCATTTATTAACCGATTTGGACGATTTTTGTTTTGTTTGAAAGGGTATACTTCCAGATTGGTCCCATTTAAATTAAAAAAAAAATACCACCCCTAAGGGTGGAAAAAGAACTAATGATGAATTTAACCTACTTCTAATGTTCATATTGACTTGAAACTTTGCAAGTATTTCTATTTCCGTTGATAGTACAGTGGTCCGGTGTTGTTGACCTGATCTGATGGCAAGGTCAGAAGGTGGATAGGTGGAACTTGTCAACGGCTAATAGTAGATACTTTGAGTTTGGGCTTATTTTGTTTGATTTGACAAGCCTAACACGTTAGAATCCTTACTTTGCTATTACTGTCTACACTAAAAAGGGAAAAATAAAAACTTTTTAACAAAAAAGTAAAAACCGACTTCAAACAAAAGCACTAAAAAGTAAAAAATAACTGATTGGTAGTTTTCATTAGTGCTTTGCTTTGTATGGGCTGGCACCGATTTCGAAAATATTTGATTAGGTATGTATTTAATAGGTAGGCTTTAATTACTTAGCCAAAGCACACCGACTACGAAAATATTTGATTAGGTATGTATAGTAAATGAAAACTACCAATCAGTTATTTTTTATTTTTTAGTGCTTTTGTTTGAAGTCGGTTTTTATTTTTTTGTTAAAAAGTTTTTTCAATATATATTTTTAATGGCAAACCTAAAACAAGTATTGGAATAGAACCCTCAGTACGCGAGATCTTTTTACACTTGATCTATTTATTATATTTATTACATGTGGAATAAATTTATGCTGTTTTTACTTTGTCTTAGAATTTTCTTAAATAAATATATCTATATGAGTCCTATAATAACGTTACCTATTTAATATGAAATTAATGTTGAATAAGCTATTTAAATACATAGCTAGTAAATATATATATTTATAATATGAAACTAGGTAGGTTGTAAGTTTATTCTTGTTGTCCGTTGTGACAGCATAATGCTTATTCTAGGACATAAATCATAGCAGGTGAGCGCGTGCGCAGGTCGTCTGCAGTCTATAGATATTTGAGATTATTTGTATGACCGATATAATGTTACAGTGGTTTTTCGTAACGGTGAGTGACTTATTGTGACAATCAAAACAATATTTAGTAAATCCAAAAATCAAAATCAGTAAGAAAATTTGTATTATTAAGTATTTTCTTGTAGTCTGCCATTGGTAGAGTTCATAGGTCTAGGGTATTCGCTTGTAAATAATATTATTGAAACCGTAGCGCTATAAATATAACGATTGGGTCGTAAATTTGTTGTTCCTTTAGATTCCTCTATCAGGAGGTGTGTCCAGTCACGATTCGTTGTTTACTCACAACAAATTGCCACGGTCAAGTTGGGAAGAAAGTTGATATCACTATAACATCCTAATAAATCACTTTTGACATTTTATTAATCACATAAGTCCCCATTGTTGAAGTCTGTAACGGTTTTAAAGGAGCAGTCATGGAACTTTAAATTTCTGCCCTTCAAGGACCGTTAAGGTTTCAAGGCGAAAAACGTTTTTATATGATGTTTGTCTCTTCAAACTTTATATTTTAAGCTTCTAAGTACGTACTAAGCAGAAAGAAAGTATAGCGAATAATATAGAACATACCAATTATAGAATGCTTAAACGTGTGTCAGTTTATTCGAAATTATATATATTTTTACTGAACAGACAAAAATTCTGCGCAAAATATATTATAGGTATGTCTATATTTTAAGACGACTTTTTGTCTTTTTAGTAAAAAAACAAGTTATTGCTATTT